TCGTCTTCATTGCTGATATATTTTTAAACTGCTTAACCGGTTGGTGCTCTTCATACATGTATCTAATTTCTGTTTTGCATCACTATTTTTTTTCCCGCTTTGCATCACTATTTAATTTCTTCTATGCATAAATCCAAAAAATGGATTTTATTTAGTAAAGGAAGCACGGGTCAGTTTTCGTTCTTCCTAAGTGTGATGATTTCTACTATATTTCTTTATTTGTTTCAATTTCTTATGTGTGTTGTGGAAAGTGATTTGTTGCTGGGAATATTTGATGACATGATTATTTTGCCATTATATATGTATGTGTTACTTTATCCCTTTGAGCAGGTTTGAACTTAGAGTTCAAGATGTTGAAGAGTCTCCTAGAAGAATTTCGGATGAAGCTATTATTTATGCTTATTTTTATGTTGTATATTTTATTCAGTTGTTCTTTATTTTGGCTTGTAATATTGTGTATAACTCTAACACTATCTCTCTATATATGATATATATTTGGGGATCGTCTAAAGGGGGGAGGGGACTTACGTGCTAATTGCTATTTTATCGCCAACTTACTTGTTGATAGAGAGACATGCCTATAGGATCTAAGTAAATTTCAATATGTTTTTTTTGAGGTTAGAAAGCATGCATTTAGGTTTAAACTTTATTACATATTAGATAAATATCATATTTGTAGGTTGTTAATCAAATCGTTAGCGTTCCACTAAAATCTGGAACTGTAATTCGAATGTTAGGATCTTAATAAATTAAGCTTTATTTATAGGTCTGTTGCAATTTTGATGTGTTTAGGAATTAGTAAATAATTAACTCCAACATGTTTACATCTAGAAATCATGTCTATAGGTTTCTGAAATTTACATGTCTTGTATAGAAATTATGTATATAGGTTTTTGATAATATTCTCAACTTGTGCACTTAGATACCATGCCTGTAGGGGTTACATAATTTTTAATATATTATTCGGGTGTAGAAATTATGCATATAGGTTTCAAGTTATTTCTCATTTCTTATTTAGAAATCATGCTCTTAGGATTGATAATTAATTATTGTATCAATAAAATAAAATAAAAAGTATAATTTGTCAACGTCTAAAATAACTGAAGCAATTATGTTGCATTCCGGCAACTGTTAAACGATCATATAATATAATTTTGTTGTCATTAAGAACTGAAATTGATTAACTATTTTCCTACATGCTACACTTTGTCCCATTTAGACAAATTGCATTTAAAGTAGACTCTGCCTTAACATCATGCTGGTAATACAACTGTTTTTAAATCAATAGCTAATCTATCCAGATTTCATCTGCATGAAATAATTAATTTCCTATATCGTAATTAATTGTTTTGACGCCTAAGATCAACTACTAATTACTTTATGCACCAACTAAACTGCTACCCTTAATTTAAGCATCTCTGCATTAGTAATAAATCTGCTACTGTTTTCTAAAATAAATTTCTGCATTTGTATGATCACTTTTCTGCTATATTTCTAAAATCAAATAAACAAGTTTGTTATGTCAGTAATTTTGCCCCCTTTAAAATCAGTTGCTTAACATAGTGCTGCATTTTGTAATAATTTCCTGTCACTCTTAATTAAGTAATCACCTTTTAACACCATGTGTATATCTGTATGTTCACACACCTAAGCACGCAACCTTTTCACTCTATCTGTGTTTGCTAGCATGTCTAATAAAATTTAGAGGCCAATATGAGATTTACGTGCTAAGTGTTGTCCTATTTGTTTGACTTGGTGTCTAGGTGGGCCTATTAGGATTTTATCTTTGTCTAACTTCACCCTAATAGTAGTCCAATGCCTCTTGGACCTTAAGTGGGGACGATAGACACCTCGTAGAGACGTAAAGCATGCGGTGGTGGGGTAGGGGTAGTTGAGGCCCTATGGAGATGATGACATCGACTCAGGCTTGAAGAGACAAAACTTTGGTTTTGTCTGTCCCTACACGGAAGCCTATTAAAAAATAAAATAAAGTCGAGTGCTGATCCTAAAGTCCTTCAGAGTCTCCCTTTCCCTTTACCTTCTATGTGTTTTATTATTATAATTTGTTGGGGTAGCTTAAATATAATAATAAAATTTATCTTTTATATCTATTTGTAAAAATTTCTATCTCCTTGCTCATCTCTTTACTTATTGTGTAATATTTATTTATTATATTATCACTTAGTCTCGCATGCCTATCTAATTAACTAAAATAATTAAAGTGCTCTTAATTGCTTAATATTGTTATTACCTAGTTTTGCATGCTTAATTTTTTAAAATTAATAAATAAATTGATTTTAATTGTTTAATATTATTTATCACTTAGTTATGCTATTTAATAAATAACCAATAAATGAAGTGACCTTAAATGCTACTTGTAACCCCCACATATTGCATGAGACACGGTCGGGACCCACATTTGTGGACCTTGAGGGATGCCTAACACCTTCCCCTCGAGGTAACTTGAACCCTTACCCTGATCTCTGGTTCGTTGACCTTAGCTAGACTTAGTTAGGTTAGATAGGTGCCCTAACGCACCTTAATTCGTTAGGTGGCGACTCTTCAATCCACCAAAGGCTCAAAAGAGTTGTTAGGTCGTGCACCAGAACCCGTTTTGACAAAAACGGGGCGCGACACCAGTCTTACCCAAGGTGTAGGCTCAGGGCGTGACACTCACTGACTAATACTTGAACCATAGACCATCCACAGAGCCTTAGACGGGCAGTGAATGGGACAACAATCAGTGTGATAGCCCATGTAAAGTCCCCAGGGCATGCTAAGCAAAGACCCCTCCCACGAGGGCCTTAACGGCTTGTGTAAAGGTGGACATGTCGTTATGACGCCCGTGTTGGGGAGGCAGAACCAACCCCAAAGTTGGCTTCCTCCCACGAGCCCCTAGATGGGTCGTGAAGAGGCAAACGACTCGTCAAGGTGGTCATGAAGGGGCAAGACAAAAGGGGGCCTCTCCCTCGGCCACTAGTCAAGGACCACGGCTACCACAACGGCCCGTGAGGTCCTTGACGGCTCATGAAGTCCACCATCTGGTGGTTGCGTCAACTTTAAGTCACGAACTTTTGGGTTTTCTCCTAATTATTTTATCTTGACACTATGTCATTTTTCCCTTACCTTGAAGTCTTATAAAATTGTATTTAATCCCAAATGTCCCCAATTGAAATCATTCTCTCAAATTTCCTATAAAAAGAACAAGTCTTCCTCTCTAAAATAATTCCCTCTCTAGAAAGCTTGAAGAAGAAGGAATCAACCTAGGGTTTCAAGTCAATCCTCCAATTCCACCATTGAAGGTTAGCTTTTGACAATAAGGTATGATATTTTCAATCCATAGAGCCATTTCCTCCACGGAGTTCTCAGATTCTCCAATTTACAAAGTTAGAATTCCCCAATTGAGTTAGGGTTTTTTTCCATGTCATGGGTTACTTTAAACATTGAGTTATTTGGTTGTTCATAAAGAAGATTGAAGATTGGTGAGTCCTCATCACCCGTGGACTGAGCATCACTTTCTTTTTGTCCGTATTTTCAGTTTTTGAACTTTATGTTTGGGCTACGCTCCGATCAATCTTATGTACTTGATGACTTTGAGACGATGTTTAGACTTCTACTTTTCTCAATAAAAATTTTATATGTTGAAACTGTCTTCTAAATCATTTTATTCTATTATATTGTATGATGAATGCTAAGTGGCTTGCATGGGGCCTCTCGGGGTATTATACGTCATGTTACACATAGGGGCTACCTTAGGCCATGACAAAAAATAACTATTCTGTGTGATTTACGCTTAACACCAAGAGTACATTGAGATGGGAGCTCTCCCATTAGTAGAGGTTGGGTTTCTTGTAAAAATATCCTTATCCCATACCTATGTCCACCCATAGGATGATTGTCTTAGATAGACATTAACTAGTGGATCCATATCAACTAGAAGTTCATGGTCTTACTTTGGCAATTAGGTTACTCCTTTTCGGTGTGGGGTAGACACCGAATTCCGTGTTCATAACAAACATGGTCTTATATGTCGGTTAAAAGTAAATCTACCACAATAATGAACTAAGCTTTCATCAAGAAGCATCTCACACGTATTTTAAGATGATGTCTATTTGCATTGACCATGTTTATGACTTATGTCTTCTAGCCCTTTTTATATAATGTTTTAGCTTGGTTATTGCATATCAAGAAGATATCCCTCTTTAAGCATGTTTTCAAAACTTTTATGCAAGGCTATCATACTTGGTACATATTTGTACTAACACATACTCTTGCCTAAATCTTACCCAAATGTAGGGTCCGACCTTACAGATTCACACTTCCGTGGCTAGGGATCTCATATAGAAGATTGAATATAGGTGAGTCCTCATGTTCCAATGACCAAGCTTTGGTTTCCCTTTGCCTTTACTTTCAGTTTTGGAATTTGATGTACGGTCTACGTCCTGATCAATGGTACTAGTTGGCTTTGAGACGATGTTTTGACTTCCACTTTTCTTTATAAAACTTTTATATGTTGAAACTATCTTTTAATACTTTTATATTCTATTATCTTGTATGATGAATTCTAAGTGGCTTGTATGGGGCCTCTCGGGGTCATATACACTATGTTACATCAAGGGGCTACCTTGGGCCGTGAGAAACTTGGTAATTAGAGCACAAATCTTAGAAAGGTCCTAGGAAGTCTCATAAGCCACGTCAAGTAGATTCTTGTTCATGAGAGTGAAGCGCGCCACATTTATGAATGAGAGACTATAAGATGTTTAGGAATCTCCACTTATTTCATTACTCTAAAGTCGTGCGATAGTGTTCAACACTATAATGTCTCTATCCTAATCTTTATCCGATGCTCTATAGGATATGGCCACTCGAAGGGCATATGCTAGAAGGAATGCAAATCAAGAGGCTCCTCTTCAAGCTCCTTAAATTCCGGTAGATCTGTGACCCAACAAGTTAGTAATGTAGAGTTTAGGGATACTTTTAAAGTATTGGCTCAAGCCATGATGGCTCAAGAAAATAGGGACGTTGTAGTCCTCGTGAAATCAAATATGGGTGTGACGACATGCAGAGTGAGGGACTTCACTAGAATGAATCCTCCAGAGTTTCACGGTTCTAAAATTGAAGAAGACGTGTTAATGAGCATGGGAGTGATGCCGGTAGAAATGGTGGAATTGGCTGCTTATCAACTTAAGAGTGCTGCTCATATTGATCAACTAATGGAAAGAATGGAGATCGAAAGATGGGGGTCCTCTCGATTAGGAAAAGTTTGAAATTACTTTCCTTGATAGGTTCATTCCCCTTGAGATGACAGAAAAAAAGGTGCTCGAATTCATCAATCTTCGTCAAGGAAATATGAGTGTGAAGGAATTTTCTTTGAAGTTCACACAATTGTCTCGATATGTTCCTACTATGGTTGTCGATCCAAGGGCAAAGATGTGTAAGTTTGTTTCGGGTGTGTCCGAGATGATAGTTAAGGAATGTTGTACTGCTATTCTTATCAATGATATGGACATTTCACATCTCATGGTTAATGCTCAAAAAATTTAAGAGGAGAAACTTAAGGAAAAAACTAGGGAGGCAAAGAGGGCTAAAATGGGTGATGGTAACTTCCCACACTCAACGTCTGATGGACATGGTAGTTCTAAGTTCTGAATAAGGTTTTCCAGCCAGGGTTCATCAAATGCTCCTCCTTATTCAACAAAGATAGGCTGTCTAACCCTAATCCTCAAGGAGGGAATGGTAATGAATCTTCATTGCCTATACTTACTTGTGCTAAGGGTGGAAGAAAGCGCGAGGGTAAATGCTTAGCTGGCATGAATGGATGCTTTGTTTGTGGAAAAAATGGTCATAAAATGAGGGATTGCCCAATTCTTGCAGCTAAAAAGAGAGAAAGTAAACTAGCCCCGTCTAGTGGTTTGGGTTCTAGTGCCGCAAAGTAAAACCAAATCTATGCACTTCAGACTCGTGGGGAGCAAGAGGGTTCTCTCGAGGTGGTTACCGATATGTTGAAAGTCTTCCAACTTTATGTTTATACTTTACTTGACCCCGATGCTACCTTGTGTTTTGTGACGCCAAATGTGGCTATGAGGTTTGACATTCTTCTGGATATGTTGTTAGATCCTTTTTTCTGCCTCTATTCCCATTGGAGATTCTATTGTAGCTAAGAGGGTCTAGAGAAAGTGTCTTGTCTACTTGTCCCATAGAGTAACTCATGTTGAACCTATAGAGCTTGATATGCTAGCTTTTGATGTTATTCTTGGTATGGATTGGCTGCACTCATGTTATGCTTCTATTGATTTTAGAACCTGTGTAGTCAAATTTTAGTTTCCAAATGAACCCATCTTAGAGTGGAAGGGGAAAATATTATGCCTAAGGGTCAGTTTGTCTCTTGTCTTAAGTTGGTCCCCATTGTAAATGAGTTTCTGGAAGTGTATCCTGATGAATTACCTGGTGTTCCTCTCAAAAGGGAAATAAACTTTGGTATTGACCTTCTCCCCAATACGAAACATGTCTCTATTCCTCCATATTGTATGGCTCTAGTAGAGCTTAAAGAATTAAAGGAGCAATTGAAAGATTTATTGGATAAGGGTTTCATCCAACCAATTATCTCTCCATGAGGTGTTCCAATTTTGTTTGTTAGAAAGAAAAATGGTTCGCTTCGTATTGTATCGACTATCGACGATTGAATAAGGTTACCGTTAAGAATAAGTGTCCTCGTCCAAGGATATATGATTCTTTTGACCAATTTCAAGGAGCAAGATACTTCTCTAAGATTGACCTTCGGTCGTGTTATCACCAAATGAGGGTAAAGGAAGATGACATTCCGAAGGTAGCTTTTTGAACTTGGTATGATCATTATGAATTTTTAATAATGTTATTTGGTTTGATTAATGCTCTAGCGGCATTTATGAATTTGATGAATAAGGTGTTTAGACAATACCTTGACATGTTTGTGATTCTGTTCATTGATGATATATTGATCTATTCAAGGAGTGAAGACGAGCATACCAATCATTTGAGATTGTGTTGCAAGTCCTCAAGGACCAACAACTCTTTGAAAAATTTAGTAAATGTAAGTTTTGGTTAAGGTCTGTGGCTTTTTTTTGGGCATACTGTTTCCACTAAGGGTATTGAGGTAGATCCTAAGAAGACGGATGCGGCCAAGAGTTAGACTAGACCTCTAACCCCATCAGATATTAGAAGTTTCTTGGGTCTAGTCGTACTATAGAAGGTTTGTAAAAGGGTTCTCTTTGATTTCTTCTCCATTGATGGCATTGACTTAAAAGAAGGTTAAGTTTATATGGTCCTAAGCGTGTGGAAAGAGTTTTCAAGAATTGAACGATAGACTTACTTCTGCTCCGGTGTTGACTTTACCAAAAAGGACCGATGGTTTTGTTGTTTATTGTGATGCCTCAAGAATTGAGCTAGGATGTGTACTTATGAAAAATAAAAAATCCATTGCCTATGCTTCAAGGAAACTTAAAATTAATGAAAAAAATTATCCTACCCATGACCCTAAACTAGCGGCAGTTGTTTTTGCCTTAAAGATTTGGAGGTATTATTTGTATGGTGTTCATGTAGATGTTTTTACCAACCACCAGAGCTTGCAGTATGTGTTTAATCAGAAAGATTTGAATCTTTGCTAAAGAAGGTGGCTTAAATTATTGAAGGATTATGACATGAGTGTTCTCTATCACCCCGATAAAGCAAATGTGGTAGCAAATGCTCTTAGTCAATTATCGATGGGTAGTGTTGCTCACATTGAAGATAATAAGAAAGAGTTCGTTAGAGATGTGCATAGATTGGCCCGATTAGGTGTTCGGTTAGTTGACTCTACCAAGGGTGGTGTTTTGGTTCACAATGGTTCAGAATTATATTTTGTGGCTGATGTGAAGGCCAAGCAAGGTCTTGATCTGACTTTGATTGATCGAAGGAAGTGGTGCTTAAAAAGTCTGTTGAGGCTTTCTCCCAAGGGGGAGATGGAGTGCTTCGATATCAAGGTCGTTTGTGTGTTTCTAATATAAATCACTTGAGAGAACAAATCTTGTCAGAAGCCTACAGTTCTCGATATTCCATTCATTCGGGAGCCACCTAGATGTACTATGACTTGCGGGAGGTTTATTGGTGGAATGGGATGAAGAAAGATATAACAGAGTTTGGGGCTAAGTGTCCTAATTGTCAACAAGTGAAAGTTGAGCATTAAAAGCCGAGAGGTTTATCTCAAGATATTAGCATTCCTACTTGGAAGTCGGAAGATTTGAACATGGACTTGTTAGTTTGTCTCACACCTGACGACAACATGTCTTGATTTGGGTTATTCTAGATCGAATGACGAAATTGGCTCATTTCATTCCCGTCAAGGTTTCTTATTCGGAGGAGGACTACACTAAGTTGTATTTAAAGGAAATGGTGGGGTTGCATGGAGAACCCTTGTCCATTATCTCCGATTGTGGTACCCAATTCACTTCTCAGTTTTGGAAATCTTTCCAAAATGGTCTTGGTACTCGTGTTTAGCTTAGTACGGCCTTTCATCCACAAAATGATGGAAAATCGGAGCATACTATCCAAATTTTGGAAAATATGCTGAGAGTATGCGTGATTGACTTCAAGGGTAATTGGGATGATAACTTTCCTTTGATTGAGTTTGCCTACAACAATAGCTATTACCCAAGTATTGGCATGGCACCATTTGAGGCTCTATATGGAAGGAGGTGTAAGTCTCCTATAGGTTGGTTTGAAGTGGGTGAAGTTGCCCTAATAAGTCCCGAATTGGTGCATGAGGCTATGGATAAAGTTCAACTTATTAGAGAAAGATTGAAAATGACTCAAAGTTGCCAAAAGTCCTATGCCAATGTGAGGAGAAGAGATCTTGATTTGATGCGCATGATTGGGTCTACTTGAAAATTTCACTCATTAAAGGTGTAATGATATTTGGGAAGAAGAGAAAGCTTAGTCCCCGATATGTGGGCCCATATAAGATTTTGAGGCGGATTGGCAGGGTGGCTTATGAAACTGAGTTTCCTAATGATTTGACATCGGTGCATCCACTTTTCCATGTTTCATTGTTGAAAAAGTTTGTTGGAGATCCGACATCTATAGTTCCCTTAAAAGGTTTGGAAGTTAAGAAGAATCTCTCTTATGAGGAGGTTCCGGTTGAGATTTTAGCCCAACAAGTTGAGAAATAAAAAAGTTGCTTCCGTGAATGCTTTTTGGAGAAATCATTTAGTTGAGGGTGCTACTTGGGAGACCGAGGCCGATATGATGTCCCGTTATCCTCATTTCTTTCCCTCCATCCCTACTCAAGGTTGAGGTATTTAACTGCTCATGGTTTACTCATTAGGTTTCATGTGTCGTAGATATTCCCATGGTTTCCTCAGTATGCATGATTCATGAAAAGGTTAAATTTGAGAAAATGAGTTTAGTTGATTGATTTATACATGTTTATGTGCATTTGAGTATGAGTTGCATATAGACTTCATGATATGATGTTTTAAACATGTTTTAGCTTGGAGTTGATGTTTCCTCCTCTAATATGTGCATTTATGTAATTGCATGTATCATGGGCTATTAGATTAAGTTTCTACCTTCATTATGATGTCTTGAATCTCATTCGAGGACAAATGTTCCCAATGGGGAGATATTGTAACACCTCGAATTCAAAAGGGTAGAATTTAAGCTTTTTGGTAGGATTTGATGTCAGTTCCGACCGAGCCACCCACGGTCCATGGACTGACTCACTATCTGTAGGTCAGCTCTGTGGATGATTAGCCTAGGTTCACAAAAATGATAAGTTACGGTTAACCAGAATGGTCCGTCATTCAATGCACGAGCCATAAATAGGTTCCATAGATGAATCCGAGACATAGAGAAATTTTGAGGTCGAGAGTTGGGACCTATGGCCGTAGTCCACGATCCATGGATGATACCACGAGCTGCAGGTGTTGTCCATCATTTGGAGCCCAAAATGTTAATCTCTTAACTCATCGATGACCAACCAGGATGGTCCGTGAGTTGTTCAACGGACCGTAGGCCGAGGTCATCGGTGAGCTCGACAGTTATTTTCTTAGGGGCTTTTGGGTCTTTTCCAAATTATTGTAGCCTAATACTATGTCGTTTTACCCTCACCTAAAGCACGATATAAGCGTTTTTAACCCTAAGTTTCCCCAATTGAAAACATTCTCTCAAATTCCTAAAAGGAGAACAAGTCAAGACTCCAATTCCACCATTGAAGGCAAGTTCTTGTCATTGAGGTATTATAGTTTTCATCCATGGAGCCCTTTCCTCCATGGAGTTCCTAAATTCTCCAATTTACAAAGATAGAAATCCCCAATTGAGTTAGGGTTTTGTTTCGAGTCATCGTTTCCTTTCAATGTTTATTTACTTAATTGAATTATGAACTTTTATGCATGAATTGATATAATTTCATGAATTAAGAAGAATCCCCATTAACCCATGTTTGACCCATGTTTTCTAGATATTGAGGGTTGAAATTGGGTTTTGAACTATGAAAGGTGAATTATTAAATTATGCATGTTTTTATGGAATTGACGAGATATGATGTAGATTGTTTTGAGAGTAAAAGCATATATGTGGTCATTGTAGTTAATTGTTGTGAAATGGTTTCTCACATAACTACCTCATGCATGAATGTGAAAGGTTTACTCACATAAAGGATTCTAAAGTTGTAAGGTCTTCTCACCTAAAATGAATCAATTTTAAGGAGCTATTCTAATGAAACATAGCTTGCATTGGTTACTTAATTGTACCTTTCCATGGATGACATATGACTTAGCTTGGATTGGCAATATGGCGTGCCCTTCCATGGATAATGAGTTCAAGTTAAGAAAATGACTATTTCATGGAATTTACGCTTAATACTGAGAGGATATTGAGATGGGAGCTCTCCTGTTAGTAGAGGTTGGGTTTCTAGTAGCCATCT